GCTTCCTCATCTTCCCAGGTCGCCATCGTGAGAGGGAACCCAAACCATTGTACTTGGACCTGGGCGACTTGCTTGACGCCACGCGTGACGGTGCGCCACTTCAGGATGCTTGCCGGAACTTGGAATGGTAGCAGATCTTCATCGAGCACTGGTAGTTCCGGCAGAATCGGAGTAGTGGGTGGCACGCCTGCTCGCAGCTGAGACACATGTATGACCGGGTGATTTTTGCTCGTTCCGGCAGGTCCAGCCGGTACGCCACCTCTCCAACGCATCCCAGTACCTGAAATGGACCGAAGTAACAAAAAGCCAACTTGTGGTTAGCTCGGGCGGCGACGGAAGACTAGGCATAGGGCTGCAGTTTGAGGTAGACCCAATCGCCCACCGCAAAGGTGCGATCAGATCGTTGCTTGTCCGCTTTGTCCTTCATAATCTGCCTGGCCCGGTGTAGATGATGCTTCAGCGACTCCATGATGGTTGCTCTGTCCCTTGTCCAGGTTGCGAGGTCAGTCACAGTCTCGTCAGCCACGTTGTTGATCCCAAAGAACCTGGGTTTGTGGCCGTATAGAACCTCAAACGGGAAAGACTTGAGTGCAGAGTGATAGGACGTGTTGTACCAGAACTCGGCCAGTGCCAGTCATTCTGACCATCCGCTGGGGCAGTTGTGCACGAAGCACCGAAGATATAATTCCATACACTGATTGACTTGTTCCGTGGTGCCATCGGTCTGGGGGTGACGAGCCGAAGAAATGTTGAGCGTAGTGCGAGTCAGCCGGCACAACTCTGTCCATACTTTACTGGTGAAGATGCGATCCCTGTCTGACACCATCTTATCTGGTGGCCCATGCAGTTTGAACACATTCTCCATGTATGCTTTTGCAACTTGCAGAGCAGAAAATGGATGCCTCAGAGGGATGAAGTGTGCATATCGAGTGAGCTTATCGACCACCACCAGAATGGAGTTGTAGCCCTTGGATGTAGGAAGCCCTTCCACGAAGTCAAGGGTCACCATTTCCCACGCGTGGTCCGAAACCGGCAATGGTTGTAACAGCCCTGGGTATTTCACATGCTCAGACTTGGCTTGCTTGCACGTAGCGCACCTTGCCACAAACTTCTTGACTGTTTGTTTCAGTTTCGGCCATGCAAAGAGCCGGATAATGTGAACGTAGGTCG